ATAGAAGGTATAATGTATTTAGACTATTACTATCTCTATTTAGTATCTAATGTGTTTAGCTATATACCCGTCACACAGATGAGTATATCAATATCTAATATTCTAATATTCAAATTAAAGTGATTCTTTTTAAATAGGCATTTGTAATGAAACTATTTATTGTCAATTATTTGCTGCAAAGAAATAGATCCTCTATAAATTTCTTAACGTGCCTTCAATTATTTGTTGTTCTTAAAGGGAAACGAAGTTGTGTTTAAACACGTATTCTCGATCGATCATCAATATACCTTAACCTTTCAGATTTAGGGGTTTGATTTTCTTACATACCGCAGTGGCTTGTAAAGATGTTGATATCGAATAAATCCATTTACTTTTGTGATTCAATGAAATGCATGAGTTTTAAAAGTTATAAAAAACGCATTATTTTCAACACTGTATTCAGAAAAAGTTAATAACTTTTAGTAATGAACCTAACTTTCGTTGGAAGTTCGAACTTTGTTATGCCGATTATTACATAATAAAGTCAGTTTTGGTAATTAGTTTTGAGCTTAAAGTCGACTTCCACCAGCAAAGTTCGTAATATAAAACCCCTTATTGTACTGAGGTTATACCGCAAAACTGAGATTACACTTAACAATAGAATGCGTAAACTCTCTACCAGTTCCTTATATGGGGTTTACATTACGAGCTTTGCTGGTGGAAATCGACTTTGAGCGACTTTTCTAATTTTTTTTCCTATGATTTGAAAAACACATGTCAGAGAACTAATGTTTATATACCAATCGAAAGCCTTTCCAAAACTTTACAAATAATATGCATTTTTGTTCAGTTCAATTATTTTAAAAAACAAATTTTTCAATTTCAATTTATAAATAACAATACAGGTTTCCATAAAAAAGGTTTGAGCTGATTGTTCATCAATAAATTAAAAATATAACAATAATCAAAATGAAAACTCGAAACAATAATGTAAACACTAAATCAACTTTAGCAAATTTCGAACCTCGTAAGATTAAAAACACCTTGCATAGTTAAAGCACCAATGTCAAATATTTGGATCCCATAATTAACTCTAAACTAAGAGGCAAATTTCGTCGAAAAAGTCCATAAGATATGTGCGGCTTACTGCTGTGGAAGAACTATTGATCCTTAATAAAGTCTTCTTCTTAGTTGGAGCTTTAATCTTTAGCCCTTGCACCAAAATCTCGCTTATGTTTGGTATATAGTCCGTTGTCTTTTAAACTGAGACTTACTTTATTGAGGTCTGTACTTCAATCAACTTCACAAAAGAGGTATAGGTGTCCATATTAGTACCTATACAGTTAATCAAGCAGTGATTAAAGCAAAAACTAACAAGCAAAAATAAGATTAGGTGTTTTCGGTGGCTCGCAAGTATGGTAAAAAACATAAATTCGCTAGCCTATACAGGCCGAAATGTATGCAAAACAACAACACTATTTTCTCTATCTAGACCAGTAGTTGTATACTGGCCACACACTTCGGCCAATAAAGAAAAACGTGTTACCTACGCAATAAGCGAACAATTGTGAACCTTCATCGGAAACTCCAACGTATATTGCCATCATACGTCAAAAATCATATGAAAAAAATCAAACTAAATTCAAAATTTTCATAAATTTGAAAATTGGGAAAAAAGTAAAATTTTAGTGTTTTATTTTAAAATTTCACACATTCTTTCCATTCCTTTAAATTCAGTATTCTGTATTCATTTTAATTTTCAATTTATATTAACTTGAACAGCCTTGAAGCCAACAGAAGAAGTCCAACTTAATGTTGTGGACAAGGCAAAAGAGCCAAAGTCTAAAATCTATGTTGGCTACTTCTCATGCTCAGCTTCCTAACAAAATGATCGAATTTTGGGACAAATTGACTGCCAAAATTCGGGCATCTAAAATCTATGTTGGTTACTTTCCAGGCTCAGATTCCTGGCAAAATGATCGAATTTTGGGGCAAATTGATTGCCAACATTCGGGCATGTGTGTTATGGACTGGCGGTTAATACACAGGATCAATAAAGGCGATCTCGTCGAGATGGTGATTGCTCTGGAAGCAGGAATTATGGGACCAAAATTCCGCAAAGCAATAGCAATGGGAAAACCCGCTTCCATTTCTCAGGCAGAGGCTCATGTAGGGGCACCCGAGGTACCAAAATATGCATTCTTTCAGACAGCCAAGTAGCTCTAAAGTCTTTAGCAAAATCTTCATTCCAATCAAAGTTTGTCTAGAAATGCTTTAAACTTTTCAATACTTTAGTATCGAGGAACTATGTTACTCTTGTGTAGGTACCGAGACATGAAGGGCATGAGGGCAATGAAATAACAGATTCCCTAGCAACGAAGGGTGCATGAAATCCTTTTATTGGTCCAGAGCCCTTCTGCGAGGTAACAAATAGCTTCCCAAGTAACTTATTATATGAACGGGAGAAACAGTATCTACTTAAACACTGTAGATCCCAAACAATCATGCGGTAGTCAAGAAGATTCATCAATCCTGAACACATCAAAGTTGATGCTATCCTTGGCCTTACCAGAAACGATTTTAAAATCTGCACTGAACTTCTTACAGGACACTGTAGACTTAATTACCACATGAAGATTATAGGTGTGGCAGAAAGTGACTTCTGCAGACTTTGTCATGAGGAGAAGGAAACATTAGAACATATTCTATGCAACTGCCCAGCGGCAGCAAGACGTGAACTTGTAGTCGACCTTGGAAGCGGGATCTTAGTCCCAAATCAAATAGGTATAGTTTAGCCCACAGCAATTATGAGATTTATAAATAGTCTAGAATTGTTTTAGTTGGGCGCACAATAGATCTTTTAGGTCGGGGTACATTCATAGCTTATTATTTAATAATAATAATAAGTGCGTTGTAGTCATTTTCCTCAAAGCACCTTAGTGATATTGTGACCTACAAGATAATAATTTTTTCTTTATCGTTTTTGCCTGTCGAAAAGTTTTATCCGTTTCAATTCCTCGACTTGGATGGAGAGACAAGATTATTGAGATGAACTTGAATTCTGTGCAGAAAAAGGCTTATGATGAATTATAATTCGACAAAAATTATAATTGACAAAAAATGAAGAGGAAAAACGTTATATGCTGCAAGTAGTCGAACATTGTCATAAAAAAAATCCTTCACATAACAAATCAGATTTAAGTTATAAAACACTATGTATTATTAATTACTGAAAAAATAATGAAAATATCATTACTATAATGTATATATTATGTTTTAATTATTTATCATATGAATATACATTAATAATTGTTGCAATAAGTTACAAAGATATAAAATGATCTTTTATGAATATCGTTTTTTTTTTCAATGGCATGTTTCTGGGGGGTGCACTCATTAAAAAGTTCATTCATAATTTTCCCCCTTATAACGTGAGCCAGCATGCATCTTATGCTATACTTGCGACCCACCGAAAAGACGTAACATAAACAAGTGCTTATCTGGAGACACATATACAATACACAACTGTAGGTACTGCGCGCAATGGTCAGTGTTTTCTGGTTCATAACAAACAATGTTCTTCACCATCACCTAAATTTTCAAACAGTCAAATGGTTAAAGTTCAGTAGGAAAGGCTTTTCAAATGTGTGGACTTAAAAAAACCATCAAACTGCATTATCTTAGAAAAAAAGAAGACGACTGCTTTGAGTAAAATTGTTTGATCTAGTATTAATATTCAACTGATTGTATTAAAGTCCTAATAAAAAAAAATCGTAAAACTCGCGCAGTTGTTAAATAGATAATGTTCCAGATAGCCTATTCTATATAGTATTACCTATACGATATATTATGCTATTCCTAGAGAAGGTCCTCTCAGCTGACCTGGGATAACCACTGTCTCAGATTGAATACCTTAATCGAATCAATGAAAGTCAAATAAAAGGACTCAACACCTTTTTGAAGATATTTTAAGTTTGAAAATTGTATGTCTAATAAAAAGTAAAGCTTTTTTATAAATGTCCTCTCCGAACGGTATTAATTTGAGGTTTTCAAGAAGCTTTCATATTTCCGAAGTTTTAAACCAAACACCATAGTGTCGTAAACAAAGGTTGAGCCATTAAAAACACGTCGAAATTCGTCAAAAAGCTATAAAAAGCTTTAAAGTTTGCGCGTCCTGTGCAGAGACATCATCGTAATATATATAAAAGTAGGGTAGGTCCAAACTGACAGACATGGACAGAGGCAGTACGGAGTGGCACTGGTAGACCCAGTTTTGTCCTTAGACAGTTTCTTTTATATAAATTTTTTTCTTTTTCTTTTTTTTTTATTTTTATGTTTCTTATTTTTCTTTTGATCCATTTTAATCACCATAATTTCATTTTTTTTGTTTTGTTAAATAAAATAACCTGGCACGAAGTTTTTTTTGTTCCGATTCAATAGTAGTATAGCGGTGTTAATAATCCATCCCTTCTTCCGACGAGCTAGCTGGCCTCGCCACCGTGCCAGAACTTTACTCCGTTTACGACACATTTCAAGATGTTGAACGTAACATTGTTCAATTGAATAACCAAAGTGAATTGACTATGATTTTGCTTATTTTGTTTTATATAAATGCAGGAAAATGGTGAGAAAAATTAAAAAGCGTTGAACACTTTAGAATAATAAGATCAGCTAATCTTCTGCCTAACACCGAAAAAATTGCCTCCATATGATGCCTCGATAATTCGGTCAGTCGGAAACGTTGTGATTGTAACTTTATAAAAACAAATATAAATAAAACTTTATTATTATATCTAGTTAACCTGATAAATATAAATTATTTATATATATTGCCACATGTGAACCTGATGTACTTACATCATCTTGGATGACAGACAGATGTACATGCCATATGTAGCAGATACAAAAGAGTTACTTATTGAACTCCTCCATCTCTTCTGTTGCAAATAGATGCGATATACATAAATATATGTATAGATGAAATAATCTAATTTTATTTAAAAATATACACAAAATAGATGTTTGTCTGTTTGCGTACTTTTATTTTATTAAAACTTCATTAAATCAATAAAAGAATAGAGTACGCCATACGACATACGATATTGCAAATAATTTTGTCATAACTAAAAGTATTTGGCGAGTATGCTTTATTGAAATCAATGTTAGAAGTAATTTATGACACTGAAATATAGAATTTATTTAAAATTCGCAAATAATACAAATAAATAAATATATTTAAAAAGTTTACCTCCTAAAAACCGTGCAGATACTCGTCCTCATTATCTGATTTTTGTTGAATTTTTAAATTAAATTGAATTTCCTGACCAGCAACGCAGCTAAATAAATAAAAAAAATTAATTAAAAAATTATTTTATTGCTCAAATGATAGTTAAAAATGATAATTCATTTGTGATACGCACTGATACGTATCGCTGCATTCATAAGGACAAATATTGCTACATTTTTTTGAACGTTTTTGCGAGCTTCGCTTAAAATATCCTTGTAGCGGTCATCAGAGTCACGGATTCTAGCAGGATTAGATTGCATGATTACAGGCAAGTATAAATTATGTTAATTTTGTGGAGATGTGAAACGTTATGTGAGATATTCAACTTTTCATTTTTTTATGTATCTGTAATGTCAATTCGACAAATATTGCCATATAATTCTTTTCCTGTACAAATATACATGCATCACCAATAATAGGGAAAACATCATTTACATGGTGCATTTGGAGACATATACTGTTGTAAATATGATGTCTTGAATAAAATCAATTTGATTTCCAGATGCAAACCAATGTACTGGCAATTCGCTAGCTATACTCAAGAAATTTTCTCCATTATTTATTTTTCTTGAACCGAACAGTGCACACGCATCAGAGGTTTGAAGAGGAGCGCTTCTTTAGGTCGAAACCCGATAACGAGTGGTAATTGCGAAATAAGTTAGTAAGTACTTCATAAGAAAATTTTACAAATATTGCCATATTTATAGACGATTATTTGAACTCAATTTTTACAACTGATAGTCGAACCTTGAATAGCACGTTTTGAGATAATATGAAATCCAATTTAACTGGGGGGCAGGGATAAGCCCCTCAGTCATAAAAGAGTAAAAGTGAAATAGAAAATTAGAAAAACAATCCTTGGGAAAGCAAACAAACTCATTTAAGAAGTATTTTTGTCCAAAAAAGTGATGATATGATGTTATAAATTTCAGTTATCCTGCAACGTCAGATGTCTTCATGAACTATCTGTGGTATATTCTCATTAAAAACTGGGAAGATCAATTGCATTTCCTATTGGACAAAAATCGGAGAAAGTGCTCTACAGATCACAATTGGAGAAAACAAAGCTATTTTGGGGGTGGTTCACCGTAAATCCTGGGAAAAAGTATTTGATTTTAGAAAGCTATTACATTAACCAATAGTTTGAAATGTGAGTAAATTGCTTAGAAGACAATGAACTATTAACGAAGTGAGTGGAACAGTTTCGTTGTTTTATGATGATTAAGAGCCCATCAATAAATCAATAGCTACTGGATTTATGCATTTGACAATTTTAGACAAATGACATCAATCATTATAAAGTTTATTTTGTCTTTATTGACAAAAGTATGATATATATATAAAATACAAAGTACTAGCTATATAATATTTAGTACCATTTAGTTATATTAAAGATTAAATAATAATAAATATTGAATAATCTTTCTATCGATTGTATAATTAATATTATATTTGTAAACAAATATCAATAAATAAGTAAAATTAAAATAAAATAATACAATTTTTTTTATTTATATAAAAGTTATCATAGTGGAATTTGGAAAGGGTTAAAAGGAATAATTCCTATAGAAAGTCATGAAGCTCCCAATTCAATAGTTGAAGATAAACTTCTATGAAAAAAGGCTCAAAAAAAAGAAACAAAAAATAAAACTTCAGATAAAATAAATAAAATTATTGCTTATCGTAATCTTGTTGTTACTATGAATGTATGTAAACCTTGATATGTTAGTTCTCGACATACATCTTTAAGCGTTTGCAGTATATGACAATTTCTTTACTTAAAATTTAATTACAATTTAAATAATTGATTAAAAATATCAGAAGTATGGCTGATATCACAGTCGTGACTGAAATTCCATTACCAACTTAAGTCATGCTTAAGTCATCAATTTTGCCGACGTAAGTCATACTTAATTCAATTTTGTGACTTTTGTCACATGACTAGGAAATCTCTTCTTAATCTGTTTACATTTTATATGAAATTTGTTGAAAAATCAGTATTCGTTGAGACTTCAATCATAATTTTTTTTTGAAAGGGTGGCCACACATAATGTCAAATAAAATATATAGTATGCTTGCTTGCTATATTGAAATAGAAATAATTTACTAGAAATACAAATTTAACTGTCATTCGTAAAAAAAAAATATTTATTAAAAACAAGAAATAACTTTATCAGTGGAGAGAAATTCTCATTGCTGGATTAAATATCTTAACCTCATCACCGGAAAAATGTATCACCAACTACTTAACACGAAATCGAATATAGTCGATGAGATGGCACGCAAGAACGTTAAAAAAAATGTGATTCTCTTCTTTGTGTTGAATACCATTATACGTATAAGTGAGTGATTTAAGCAAAAGATGCTTACAAATCTCCATTATTTAACAAAAAGCCTTGTTTTTCATTTCTAATCCATTTAGCACCATTCGTTTTGAAAAAACTTCGTTTGAGTTAGAAGTACTCCATTTAATCAGAGAGTGATGAGTTACCGAACTTCAATTATCTAATGCAAGTACAGTCCATTAAACAATTTTAGATCACTGTAAGTAAAGCATAGAGCCACATCAATATGCGGAGATATGTAGAGGTGGTCTATAGCCTTCATGTTACACCTGAGATGGATGCATACCAATGGAACTCATCATTTACATCAGATGAAAATCATATTTGCGTTTATTTTATTTTGGTGCTAAGATGGCATCTTAATTATTTAATACTTAACAATTAAACGGATAAACACAAAAATAATTTTGAGAACATTCTAGTTTTTCTTTTAATATTTAATCTTTTTATGTGTACTTCCAGTCATATTTAACGTGCAAAATATTCTACGTGAATTTTGTAATATTTTCAAATTATATAAATCATATTTGACTTAACTATTTTTTCACGTAAAATAAAAAACGAGCATTCGCAGTTTAGACTTATTGAAAGAGATATGCCAAGGTAGTATTATCGGACTGCTTCTGTTATACCATATATACGTAAACACGCAATATACAAGACCACCACCAAACACCAAACTTATTGATTACAGTTACTTTTACAAGCGACACGACGATTTTGACTGAGGTCGAATCAATATATGTCCTTAAAAATGCTGTTGATGAAATAACATATACGAAAATAAAGTGGTGACCACAAGACTATTTCATGTGTGTGTAGTGCTCATGAATAGGACTGTCCCCTTTCTCCTGCTTGTCTCTCTGTTTAAGCTTTTCAGATTCAAATTCTATAGTAAAATACTATTAAGTATCTAAGAACGTCACTTGACGATTAAAAAATGGGAAGAATATATTACAATGATAAAAGATGAGAGTTTCAAAGTCTGCAATAGGTTATTTCAGTCAGTGTTTTCTGGTTCATAACAAACAATGTTCTTCACCATTACCTAAATTTTCAAACAGTCAAATGGTTAAAGTTCAGTAGGAAAGGCTTTTCAAATGTGTGGACTTAAAAAAACCACCAAACTGCATTATCTTAGAAAAAAAGAAGACGACTGGTTTGAGTAAAATTGTTTCATCTAGTAATAATATTTAACTGATTGTATTAAAGTCTTAATAAAAAAAATTATTTGAACTCGCTCAGTTGTTATAATAGATAATGTTCCCGGTAACCTATTCTATAGTATTACCTATACGATATATTATGCTATTCCTAGAGAAGGTCCTCTCAGCTGACCTGGGATAATCACTGTCTCAGATCGAATACCTTAATCGGATCAATGAAAGTCAAATAAAAGGACTCGACACCTTTTTGAAGATATTTTAAGTTTGAAAATTGTATGTCTAGTAAAAAGTAAAGCTTTTTTATAAATGTCCTCTCCGAGCGGCATTATTTTGAGGTTTTCAAGAAGCTTTCATATTTCCGAAGTTTTAAACCAAACAGCATAGTGTCGTAAACAAAGGTTGAGCCATTAAAAACACGTCGAAATTCGTCAAAAAGCTATAAAAAGCTTTAAAGTTTTCGCGTCTTGTGCAGACACATCATCATAATAATAATATAGTGTCCTGTGAAATCATATCTGTGTTTTAGGATTACTTTGAAAATTAGTTGCAAAAGATGGCGCACTTTTTTAAAATCCCTTGCCAATATAAATCAGGTGTTCATATATCAGAGTTAAAATTGAAAATTTTTCTTTGAAAACTACCGCCAACAAATTGTTAAAATTGTATATATTGGGTATGTTGTATATATAGTTGTATATGTTAAAATTGTATATACACCAGTTGGCTTTAAATGGTGTGTAGTTTTTCTTAACTAAATTAATGTAAAACCTGAACAGTTTTGGGCCCTGATGTCTGGAGAACTAAGGTATGTCGGCATATAACGTACTTGAAAATGCTCTTCAGAATATGTAACTTTATTTATTTAAATTGGTCAGGTATGTCTCTTTTGCTTATTATACAGTGGTTCTTTACTATGAGACTGGAAAATTATTTCCTGGTCATCACAATTTCTTATGGAGATCCTTAGATATTATGATTTATAGATATTAAAGAAAAATAAAATATTTATTTATAAGAATAAACTTAAGTTAGGAAAAGCAAAAGGAAATAGGAAAAGCTTTAATGTATTGAATTCAATGTACAGAAGTTTTATTGTACTTATTTAGGTACACAAATAAGTAAATAAATAGAACTTCGCCATATATGACCTGTGTATTCTGCATGTTATTGAACTTGATGATCATATTAATTATTTTTAGGTACTTACCTAATACTACAACTACTAAAAAGTTTGACATGAACTTTTTCTCCTTCCCGTTAATTTGGTTATGATGGTTATAGTTCAGTGGTGTTGAAATGTTAAAATGTCCAAATTGAAAATGAACATTAAGTATGTATCAATATATTTGCACTTAAATGCTATCAATTTATTCAATATACATTTTTTAAAAAGATAATTATGTTTTATTCGAATTCGAATTTGATGTACCATAATTGACTTTTATTGAAAACGTAATAAGACTTATGTACTTCCATCCATAGCGCCATCCATTTCATTCGAACCTAGTAAGCGGCAAAATAATGGTTTTATCTGCATTTAGCAGCATATTGTCCAGTATTGTCCAATTGCCCAGCGATGTATACATGCTAAATCTATATTAATCTTTGTTAGATGGTCATTTAAACCATCACTCCGACACGAATGATACATTTGTATATCATCAGCATATTCATGCAGCTTTGAGAATTTATATACTGAGAAAACGTGTGCGGAAGGTTGAGAATCTAGCCTTGCGGAATCCCAGAAAACAGATGTTCAAAATTTGAAGATTTATTATGAATAACTGCTGACTGCAATCTCTCAGTTAAATAACTAAAAATAAATTTAG